CACCCAAGGTCCCAGATGTCCAGGAACCCCAACACCCTGAGACCCAGGTGTCCAGGAACCCCAGCACCCAGGGACCTAGGTGTCCAGGAACCCCAACACCCAAGGTCCCAGGTGTCCAGGAACCCAAACACCCAGGGAACCAGGTGTCCAGGAAGCCCACCACCCAAAGTCCCAGATGTCCAGGAAGCCCACCACCCAAGGTCCCAGATGTCCATGCACCCCAGCACCCAAGCACCCAGATGTCCAGGAACCCCAACACCCAAGGTCCCAGATGTCCAGGAACCCCAACACCCTGAGACCCAGGTGTCCAGGAACCCCAGCACCCAAGGACCCAGGTCTCCAGGAACCCAAGGACCTAGGTGTCCAGGAACCCCAACACCCAAGGTCCCAGATGTCCAGCACCCAAGGTCCCAGATGTCCAGGCACTCCACCACCCAAGCACCCAGGTGTCCAGCACCCAAGGTCCCAGGTGTCCAGGAACCCCACCACCCAAGGACCCAGATGTCCAGGAACCCCAACACCCAAGGTCCCAGATGTCCAGGAACCCCAACACCCTGAGACCCAGGTGTCCAGGAACCCCAGCACCCAGGGACCTAGGTGTCCAGGAACCCCAACACCCAAGGTCCCAGGTGTCCAGGAACCCAAACACCCAGGGAACCAGGTGTCCAGGAAGCCCACCACCCAAAGTCCCAGATGTCCAGGAAGCCCACCACCCAAGGTCCCAGATGTCCATGCACCCCAGCACCCAAGCACCCAGATGTCCAGGAACCCCAACACCCTGAGACCCAGGTGTCCAGGAACCCCAACACCCAAGGACCCAGGTGTCCAGGAACCCCAGCACCCAAGGACCCAGGTCTCCAGGAACCCAAGGACCTAGGTGTCCAGGAACCCCAACACCCAAGGTCCCAGGTGTCCAGGAACCCAAACACCCAGGGAACCAGGTGTCCAGGAAGCCCACCACCCAAAGTCCCAGATGTCCAGGAAGCCCACCACCCAAGGTCCCAGATGTCCATGCACCCCAGCACCCAAGCACCCAGATGTCCAGGAACCCCAACACCCTGAGACCCAGGTGTCCAGGAACCCCAACACCCAAGGACCCAGGTCTCCAGGAACCCCAGCACCCAAGGATCCAGGTGTCCAGGAACCCAAGGACCTAGGTGTCCAGGAACCCCAACACCCAAGGTCCCAGATGTCCAGGAACTCCACCACCCAAGGTCCCAGGTGTCCATGCACCCCAGCACCCAAGGACCTGGGCACCCAGGGACCCAACCACCCGGGCCCCGCCACCCCAACTGACGGTGAAGATCTCCACGATGTCGTTGGAGGTGGTGCGGACGGGGTCCACGTCCTTCTCGCTCAACACCCGCATGAGGCTGACACCGTCGGTCTCCAGGATCCACTCCTGAAGAGCCTTGAACTCCCCGTCCTCTGTGATGATGATCTT